AATAAACAGCAGTAAGTCTGTGTGTTACATTTATAAATAAAGATAAAAGAGGTGGTTTGCTTGGGTCAGGAAGAGTAGAAGTGCTTGTGGTGGGGGAGGAATTCTGGGAATTGAAGTCCACACATCTTAAAGTTGCTAAGGTTGAGAAACCCTGCTATAAACAAAGCTCGTTAATGGCATTAAGTGAAGATCATAGATTGGACCTTGAGATTATATGGGGAAAGTTCATTGTCCAGCATAACAGGTGTGCAGAAAAGCAATACATCAATCAACAAACTAACCATGACTGAATCCACACATTGTTATAATACGAATTGCTTGGTTTGGATGCTGTACGTCATGTGAACCCAACACAGCAACTTGCACTGTTGGTAGGCCTGGATTTCTTTGTTAAGATGATACCCCCAAACGATCATTAGGATTAATTAACTAGGATTAAACCAGAGTTGGCAGCAGATATGTAGGGTTGTGTCACCCCAAGTTAATGAAGTGCCCTGGACCTCTTTTGGAGGAAGAACAAAGGAAACAAATGACCCAAGGATGAGCAGGACTTTCCCCCCACACGTTTATGCAGGAGTCGGCCCCAGGGCTTGAAATCAGGTTTACTCCCCGTAAGTAAGTGCAGTTCGGGCGCCCTCTGCGCAGCACTAGCCGCGTTGGTAAGAGAGCCAGCGAAGGCAGTGTTCCTCGGCCGTTTTAAGGTGGGTGGACGTCAGCGCCCAGAATTCCCTGGACAGGCCGGGGAACCCCAGGAGCTGAAGTCCACCCATCTCAGACTTGCTGAGGTCGAGAAACGCCGAGCAAGGCGCTTGGATACCCCCGTTCAAATAAGAAAGCTCCTTCCAAGGAGTCGTAACCCTCCAAGCGTCACCTGCCTCCCCAAATGCCGCGCTGGCACGGAAGAGGGGCCCGTGGGAAGCCCTCGCTCCGGACTTACTTGGGAGGAGGCCCTGCGGAGGAGGGCCAGGCAGGAACCGCTGTCCTTAGGAATGACCTAAATTCTGCTTTTTTAGGGCTATCAGAAAGCAAAGCAAAGGAAGGTTTGCCCGCGGAAACTGCAGAAACTCCAGGCTCCCTCAGCTTCCATCACCCTCGGTTTATCTCCTGAGGAGGAGACTCGCGTCAGAAAGTCCGTGGAAGCCCCTGGGGTGGCACCTGCTCAGCCCAAATCCAGCTCCCTGAAGACACGTTTCTTGCAGCGGGCCCAGGCTGCCATTTGGTGGCGTGCTTCATTCCTCTCTGTGTGCACCGTCCCGGGCAAAGGGCTCGCACTGTACACGTTTTGTCCACGTCGGTGACCCAGAGAAGGAGCGGCTCTGGTGCTGCTGAATCAGCTCTTTCAGGGCAGCAAGGAACGGGCCCCAAAAGGGTCCCCTTGTGCTGGCCGGAGGCGTGGCTGACTTCTGCGGCCGGGGGAGGAGACGGGTGTCCCTTAAGAAAAGCCGCTCTTCCTGGGGCCAGGCCTGCAGCAATGGGGAGCGCTATCCCCACAGCTTTGCTGGCACCGCTCGTTTGGCCAAGGAAGCCTGCCAGAGGGATAGCGGGCCGGGCTGGGCCGATGAGCCTCCTGGCCACGATTCCCATAAAAAGCATGGGAGGAAACATCCGGAGGGCCTTTGCCGCACGCTCGAGATGCCATGCCGGGTGGAAACGGGACCACGGCAGCGTGGCCAATCTCCTGTGGAGTCTGGATGAAGAAGCTGGGACGGTGGTCCTGGAGAGTCCCCTCAGCGCCACGCCTGTGGCACTCCGCGTGGCCGCAGGACCATCCCGATGCAGAGTCAGCGCGCAGAGACCGGGAGAGGCAGGCAATGCGGTGGATGGCCCTGCGCAAGGTGGCAATCTTGGAGAGCCGCCTGGCCCCGGGGTCGTGCTTGAGGGCCAGCCGCAGCGCGTTGAAGGCTTGGTTGTAATCCAGGATTCTTTTGCGCTCACGCACATTGGCAGCCATGCGCCGCGCCTTGGAGCGCAGGGGTCTCGCTTTGTGCCTCTGCTGGGGTTCCTCTAGGTCAGCGGAGCAGGTGGCTGCTCTGTGTTTGCTTTGTGGCAAGAAATGTGCCCCTTCTTTGCAGGCTCCCCAGGAATCTGGTCGGAGGTCAGTGCTTGGAGCTGTGCTGGGCATGGCTGGCCCTTTTTCTCAAAGGATGCTGATCTTCCCCACAGGACTCGGCCGCCGCAGGATCCCTAGCAGCATCGCCTCCCTCCCCCTCCTCCTCCTGAATCCCAAGGGCTAGGAGTTAATTGCACCCTTTGCATTTCCTGTTAAGGGTCCCATTTGATTAGCAGCCTCCAGGTATCCTGCAGTGACGGGCACTGAAGATGTCGTACCCTAACCTTTCTGAGCACTGCACCTGGGTCTGCAACTAGTTCCTTGGCAGGGAAGAAACCTTAGTCTGGCAGAATTAACCAATTGCCTCTCTGGCTACACTCCCACCGCTTAAATCCTGCTGTTTTCTGGGTATGCACCATGTGCCGAACGATAAAAGAATCAAAGCTGCTGCATTTGCGCACCACACGACCCTCCACAAAGATATGCAAAAATCAGGGGAACCTTAGCCAAGTTTAACCTGCCATAGCCACGTAGGGGCTGGTGGGTCTTAAGCTTATTGCATTAAGGCAGGCAAGAGACCATACATCAGATCCGTCCGGGACATACTGGAATACGTGGCGACGTATGTCTTTGGAACAGCAAGGCACAGAAACACAGAAGGTACGATGGATAAATCATGGTTTATCTATTCATTTCTTTAACAATTTGGGTCCTGGCTGGTGATCTGGGGACGCTTCTGTCCCCCGAGAAGAAGGAAACAATTGCAATGTCATTAGGCTATCCGTGTTTCATTCATTCGTTTGAGCAACATGGGCCATGGGTGCCTCCAAGGGGAGCGGCTGGGGGATGATGTCACGCCCATCACAACATCATTGTGCTGCATTTTGCGATGATGTCACGATGCATGTGATGTCATCATGGCTTGTAATGGTGTTGCTGGGATTTATGGATGTTTTAGTCCAGTGTTTCTCAAACTTGGCAACTTTAAGATGGGAGGACTTCAACTCCCAGAATTCCCCAGCCAGCCATTCTGGGAGTTGAAGTCCCCCCATCTTAAAGTTGCTAAGTTTGAGAAACACTGCCCTAGTCCAACACATGTTGGGAAATGTGGAGTTGGATTAATTGGATAAGAGTCCTTTTCATCAATGCAAAAGAAAGATGGCCAACTCAGGTATTTCTGAGGCTAGAAATGTCTTGTCAGTGAGCATTGCATGCGCAATACACATATGTTTACTACAAACAAAGACAACTTGTTTTGAGAATTTAGAAATGACATTCTTCCCCCCCCCCCCCCCCCCCCC